TCCATCTCAAAAAAAAAAAAAAAAGAAAAAGAGGTTCCTTTTTAAACCGTCCTCAAATTATCTTCTGGTCCTGCTGGATCCTGATCCTCTGGATTCAGACTGGTCCAAACCCTATCTTAGGAGCAATGGAGAGCCACTGAAGGAGGCTGAGTAGGGAATGACGCCGTCAGCTTTGTGTTTTAGACAGCTCGCTGTGGCCATGCATGAGGGATCAATGGGGGAGATGGAGAGGGAGATGGGGCAGAGATGTGAGGCTGAGCTGGGATCTTTGGGATATACAATGTTGTTACCACGGTCACACAGCAAATTCCAGGGTGTGTGTGCCTGGGGTTGGGAGTGGTTGTGCTTCAGGCTATTAGTTCTTAATTTTTGGTAGATTGTTTGCAAAGATGGCAGTAAGAATCCCTGCATGTGTCCACACCCTTTTGTAATATAACATTGCCGCTCCTCCCATCCAGAGAGGGGTCCTATTCCTTACTCCTTGAATCTGCTGGATTGTGACTTGCTTTGACCAACAGAATGCAGCAGAAGTCATGCTTGTGAGGTGTGCTGCCTAAGACTTGAGTCCGTGAAGCTTTGGCTCTCACTTTTTGAAATCAACCACCATTGAATGCTAACAGACCAGTCAGTATAGAGAGAGACCCAGTGTCCATGTGCAAAGAGAGGCCCAGCCCTTTTAACATCCCTAGCTGTCCCAGCCCCAGCTGACCCTTTGGCTGGATACAGCTGCAAGACCCAAGAGGAACCACCCAGAGAATCCACAGAATTGTGAGAAGTAAAAACTCTCATGTTCTTCAACCATTAAGTTGCTGTTGTCTTTTAGACAGGGCTTCATTCTGTTGCCCAGGCTGGAGTATGGTGGCACAATCTTGGGTCACTGCCACCTCTCCCACGTGGGCTCAAACAGTTCTCCCACCTTAGTCCCCTAAATATCTGGGACTACAGGTGCAAGCCACCAGGCCCGGCTAATTTTTGTATTATTATTATTTTTTTTTTTGTAGAGAAAAATTATGTTTTTCACCATGTTGCCCAGTCTGGTTTCAAATTCTTGAGCTTAAGTGATCCACTCACGTTGGCCTCCCAAAGTGCTGGGATTACAGGTGTGAGCCACCATGCCCAGTCAGCCATTAAGTTTTGAAGTGGTTCGTTACACAGCAGTAGGTAACTACTATGGGTGGTTATTTATCTCCTTTGCAAATCTCACCCTTCCTTCAAGGCCCCGCCCACTTGTCATCCCCTCAAAGTCGTCCCCTCGGCTGTAAATCGTCCCTCCCTTGTCTGAACTCCATTGCTCCTTCTTCCTGCTCCTCTTGTGACCCTTATTCCACTCTGCCTAGTAGGATAATAAGAGGCACTTTCATGAGACATTGAGCACCTTTGTCACCTGGCTTCTAATTCACACACATACTGCACATCATTCCACATAGGACAGGGAATAGCTTGTTATCTCACGAACTGAAGGTGGATGCTATAATATTTATGTCTCAAATGACAAATCGAGGTTTGGAGATGTGGCTTGCCCAGGATCACTGAAAAGGGGCAGAGTCAGAGCCAGGACTGAAACCTAAGTGTACACTTCTCTAAGTGCCCCCATGTTGTGGTTATGGATGTGATCTGCTCTGTTTCCCCACTAGAGGGTGAGGGAGAGTCACAAGCCCTGGTCCAACCCAGCCACCCTCTGTCCTCTCCCTACTGATGCATGTCCCTAACTCAGGAATCTAGAGCTCTGGTCAGGGAGTCTGTCCCCATCTTACCCCCCAACATCCCCACACCCCTGCAGACACATGCGCACATCTCACATCTGGTTTCCATTCTCTGCTGGCTTGCCTTGTGTCTTAACGAATTGACTCCACTTCTCTCCCAGCAGAATGGGGCCAGAGGTGGTAAGCTTAGGGTTGCTACATCAGGAAGAATTGATCAGCATGGTCTTCTCTGGCCCAGTCTCATCTAGCTTCTGGGGAGGTGAGATGGGGCCCCAGGCCCAGGCTGGGGGTCAAGGGTGAGGCTTTGACCAGCCCTCTTGATTGGCGGTAGAAAGAAAGAGAAGTGTGCTAAAATATAATTCATTTATTGAACTGACATTTACGGAGCCCCCTTTTTTGTGCCAAGGTCAGGGGCTGAAGTTACAAAGGATGAGTAAGAGGCGCCCTATGGAGCCCTCAGCCTATGTAATGTCAGAGCTGAGATTCAGAGTCAGTTGGGGAAACTGAGGCTCAGAGGGAGGGAAAAGAGGCCTGCCCACAGTCATACAGCCAGTTGGTAACAGAGCACAGTCCTCCCTACCCACCTTCTGAGTGCCTCTGGCTGCCACTCCATCACCCAGAGAACTCAGAAACTTGAAGCTACCTAGGGTGAGTGCAGGGGCTTACTGGCCACCCCTCCTCTCCAGCATGGAGAGGGAGGACCTGGTGCAAAAGAGGGCTGATTCAGGGCAGAGGGCAGACTTTGAGGGTGGGAGGGAAGGATGAGGTGCAGGATGATGGGGCTTGTAGGAGAAGGGACTGGAGCTTGTGGCTTCTTTTGTGCTGCTACTCAAGGCCAGAGAAATAAAAACCTCGCTGTTCTATTTTTTCCCCTACATTTCCTTTTATAATATTTGAATGACGTTACAACAGAGAACAGAGACCTCAGAAACCATTCTTTTCCAGCCCTCTCTCCCATTTTACTGATGAGCAGACAGAAGCCAAGGAGCAGGAGGCTTGCAGAGGTCTTGCAGCAGGAGTGCAGATTGCAGTGCCAGAGTCTGATCTCCTCTTCTGAGTTGCCCACTATGACTCACAGCCTGGCATGGGTTGGATTTGTAGGAGTCTGGGAAGGCTCTGCAGATCTGTTCAACAAATACCTCCAGGATGTCTTCTCAGAGCACAGCACCTCCTGCTGGGCTCCCTGATGTTGGCCCTGCCCTCTGGCTGGAGGTGCTCAGCAGAACTCCAAGTGTTGGTCAGCAGGGATGTTGAACTTAAGCTTGTGGGCTTCGAAGAGGTTGCACAGCTCTTTGATATAGCGCTGGTGCAGCTGATTCACCTCCTCCTCCGAGGGATGCAGCGTCTTCTGTACCTCGATGGGCTTCCCCACTGCAAGAAATAGAGGTGGGCAGTGGCTTAGGGTAGGGAAGGGGCCCTTGGGGCAGGTGCCCACTTCCATGGTTCATCCCTGCAGAAAAGTGCTCTTACTGCCATTCCTTCCAACCCTAATCTTAGGTAATGAATTTTAAGACATTAGGGCAACTCCAAGATTCTGATATAACAATGGCTGGATTTTTTCTTTCTTTCTCTCCCTTCCCTTCCTCCCTTCCTCCCTTTCTTTCTTTCTTTAGTCTCACTCTATAGCCCAGGCTCGAGTGCAGTGGCAAGATCTTAGCTCACTGCAAACTCTGCCTCCTGGTTCAAGCAATTCTCCTGCCTCAGCCTCCCGAGTAGCTGGGATTACAGGCATGCACCACCATGCTGAGCTAATTTTTTGTATGTTTAGTAGAGAGGGGGGTTCACCATATTGGCCAGGCTGGTCTCGAACGCCTGACCTCACGTGATCCACCTGCCTTGGCCTTCCAAAGTGCTGGGATTACAAGCGTGAACCACTGCGCCCAGCCAACAGGTGGATTTCAATGTGTCAGGCAATGCACTAGGTGCTTTACATGAAATAATCCCTTTAATCCTATGGGTATACAAACCTGTCATTATTTCTGTCTGATAGATGAGGCAATGAGGCTCAGAGAGGTTCCCTGACTAGTTTGAGGTCACATAGTCAGGAAGAACCACTGCCAGGTTTTAAACTCTAGGGATGTGCCCTTCACCTTCAGGCTATATGATCTGGGGAGTCCAAGATGCCAAGATTGGAAGCAGCTGTATTTCTAAGATGAGAGGAGTTCATAGCCCAGGCAGCTCTTCTTTCCCCTCTACCCCTCCATGCTGACCTGCAGTGGCTTCTCTCATCCCAGGGAGGAATCAGGGAGGACCTAACTCATCTCCTTTCTCTGGTTCTGCCTGGCTGGGAAGGCAGCTCCTCTGCCCTTTCCTCTTGGCAACAGCTCTGGAGGCAGCAGAATTATTAAAATTCATGAAAATGTTGCCACACGACACAGGGGAGTTCATGATGCAGGAGTTTACAAAGTCTATGCTAAACCAGCAAGTAAATGGATGGATGGAGATGAAGTGAATGGACTTCCCTCTATAAAGTCTGTCAGGGGCCGGGCACGGTGGCTCACATCTGCAATCCTAGCACTTTGGGAGGCCAAGGTGGGCAGATCACTTGAGGTCAGGAGCTCGAGACCATTGTGGCCAACATGATGAAACCCTGTCTCCACTAAAAATACAAAAATTAGCTGGGCATGGTGGTGGGTGCCTGTAATCCCAGTTACTCGGGAGGCTGAGGTGAGCATTGCTTGAACCCAGGAGTTGGAGGTTGCAGTAAGCTGAGATCGTGCCATTGGACTCCAGCCTGGGTGACGAGAGTGAAACTGTCTCATAAAAAATAAGAGAAAAATAAAGTCTGTCAGAGGAATGTGGTTAGAATCTAAGAAGAAAGCAAAAGAGATGTCCAAATAGCTGAAAAAATGGCCTTATGTCTATGGGGTTAAGCTCATGGTCAATTCTTACAGGAAAATCCCTCAGGATGTAATTTAGAGCCTATTGGCTTCTACTCTACATACAGATTTAACATACTTGGAATACCTATTCACTATAAATAAGCCTCACTAGGTCCTCTCGGTTAGAATTAAACCCTCCTGGCCAAACATGGTGGCTCACACCAGTAATCCCAATACTTTGGGAGGCCGAGGCTGGGGAATTCCTTGAGATCAGGAGTTCGAGACCAACATGGCCAACATGGTGAAACCTGTTCTCTACTAAAAATACAAAAATTAGCCGGTCGTGGTGGTGGGTGCCTGTAATCCCAGTAATCCCAGCTACTTGGAAGGCTGAGGCAGGAGAGGCAGAGGTCGCAGTGAGCTGAGATCGTGCCACTGCACTCCAGCCTGAGCAACAGAGCAAGACTCTGTCTCAAAAAAAAAAAAAAAAAAGAATTAAACCCTCCATCTCTGGCATTGTAAAAAGTCAGACAGATCCTAATTCAAACCTCAACTTTGTTATTCAAAGACAGTGTGATATTTTGGAAGTTACTTAACTTCTCTGAGCCCATTTACCATCAACGAATGGGGATAATAATTTCTGCCTTGAAGGTATGGCCGGGCATGGTGGTTCACACCTGTAATTCCAGCATTTTGGGAGGCTGAGGCAGGTGGATCACTTGAGGTCAGGAGTTCAAAACCAGCCTGGCCAACATGGTGAAATCTCGTCTCTATTAAAAATACAAAAATTAGCTGGGTATGGTGGCACGCATCTGTAGTCCCAGCTACTCAGGAGGCTGAGGCAGGAGAATCACTTGTTAGGATAAGCTGAGCTGCTTCATTTAGTGCAGCCAGTGTAGTGCCTGGCACACACCAGGTGCTCAGCAATTGGTCGCAACTATTGTTCTTGGCACCTCTGTTACGGTTCCTAACCCAGACTGTCTGCTATTCTATCTGCTTGTGTGTTTATGTTTCCCAGTCTAGAATGTGAGCCCCATGAGGGCAGGAATAAATCTGGCCTGTCTCCTTGACCCCTTGCAGCACACAACCTGCCCTGTCCCTATAGCCTCCTCCCTCCCAGCTTGGTCTTTGACTTACCCACAGTGGTGATGGGCCGGCGGTAGGGTATTAAACCAAAACTGTACTGGAAGACACCACGTCCATGAAAGAGTGGGAGGGAGATGCCCATGATCTTCTGCAGCCGGTTCTGGATACAGCGCAACCAGGAGCCAGAACAATTTGGAACCTGGTCAAATAGGTCATTCTCCCCGAAGGAGAAGATTGGCACCAGGGGTGCCCTGGAGAGAAACAGAGGAAAGAGGGCATGTGGGAGGCCCCAGAGAAGGCACACAAGCTGAAAGACCTGTTAGGTTCCTGCAGGGGCTCAGCGACCAAGAAATGGAGCAGAGGACAGTGCCCTGGGCTGGAAATGGAGGCCTGGGTTATCTCCCAGACCTTCACAGCCCCATTATCTGACCTTGGGCAGGTCCCTTGCAGGGCCACAACTTTCCAGTTGCACCACAAGAGGTAGACCAGAACGCTTCAGAGAGTTCTCCCGGATATAAAAACCTGCATTGTTTTTCCTAGAAAAATATCTCCCATCTTGGCTGGCTCATGTTTCTCAATGATGTTTCACCCCAAGGGGGGAGAACATCTCTGAATGTACTCCAAATATCCTTCTTTTAGACACCACTGGTCTCAGATCAAGTGCCAGCTTTGGGGAATATGTTCATTGCCACCTAGTTTCTTAGATCATTGAGTTTCCCTTGTGGAAACTTTTCTAGGTATTTGGACATAAGACATCAAAATATAATCTTCATTGTGAGTGGACTGAGAATCTCCCTGCCAAAATAGAATCTGCATTCCTCTCTGCCGTCTTCCCATCCCAATCGCCAGGTGAACCCAGAGTGCTCTTCCCAGAGGCTTGATACCCGTGTGTCAGGGCGAGCCTGATGAAGCCCTTCCGGTTCCGCAGTAACAGCTTGAAGGATCCAGGCCTGGCATCTAGGGCCTCCTGGGCACCCCCTACAATGATGCCCAGCAAGTTTCCACCACCCTTCCTGCTCAGAATGTGAGCAGCGCTCTCCTTTTCTGATGTGACCAACCCTGGGGAAAGAGAAAGGTGGGAAGGTATGAGGTGAGGGAGCAGGGGCTGTGAAGTACATGTAGCCCATGAAAGAGATCACCAGCAATGCCTACAGAGGCCTGGGATTCCCCCACTGTACCCCATTCCAGCCAGGAGCTCCCTGAGTCCTCTCCCTTTTTGCAAACCCCTGTTGGACTCAGCGCCCAGCATGGTGCCGTAGGAAGTGCTTCTTGGGGCCCAGCCTCCTTCTCCTACTGCACACACTCTTGGAGGAAGTACAGAACTGTTGCAACCCCTCCAGAAGTCTGTCACCTTCCTGAGCTGCTCAGGGGTGGAAAGACTCACCTCCGGACATGATGTAATCTCTGAAGAAGGGGACCCGGAACCACAAGGTCAGCATCATCAGATGGGGGTGGATCCCGGGGAAGATGGAAGAGAAGCCGGTGCTCTCAGTGCACAGGTTGGCAAAGGCTCCGGCTGCCAGGACTCCATGGGGGTGGAAGCCCGCAATGTAGTTCCTCGAGGGGTCCAGCTCAGCAGTCTTGACCAGCTGCAGGGACGGCAACCTGCTGAGCCAGGGCGGGACCTGTGTGCCAACCCTGACTCTGCCACTCACTGGTGTGACCTTGGGAAACCCTCCCCTGAGCCTCCAGGTCTTCATCCATATGTCTGACCACCTGGGTTCTTACGAAGATTCAGATACGGTGTGTGACAGCACCTGGTGGTACCATGGTGCTGGCCTTACCACAGACTTGATGTCAGCTTGGGTCAAATTGCTTGCTTCTCCTACAGGCTCCTCATCTGTGAAGTGGCAGTACAGTATTTGGCCCTGTCCCTGCTGCTCCGAGGGCTACTGAGAAGCTCAGGTATCATGGTGCCTGGAATTATTTATATCTACACCACCTGGACATGATGTAACCTGAAGTCATCAAAAGGCCACACGGGGGCACCACCATGCTGGAACAGCCTCATTTTAAGAAAACAATGCTCCAGCCAGAAACGGTGGCTTATGCCTATAATCCTAGCATTTTGGGATGCTGATGCTAGTGGATCACCTGAGGTCAGGAGTTTGAGACCAGCCTGGCCAACATGTTTGAGACCAGCTTGGTCAACATGGTGAAACGCCATCTCTACTAAAAAATAAAAATAAAATAGCCAGGTGTGGTGGTGAGCACCTGTCATCCCAACTACTGGGGAGGCTGAGGCAGAAGTGCTTGAACTGGGGAGGCGGCGGTTGCAGTGAGCCGAGGTTGCACCACTGCACTCCAGCCTGGGAGATAGAGCCTGGGAGACAGAGCAATATTCTGTCTCAAAAAAACCCAACAAACCAAACCAAACAACAACAAAAAAAAACTCCAAAAAACAAAAACAATGTTCCTTCATATCCATGGGTTCCACATCTACGGATTCAAACATGCTTAGATGGAAAGTATTTAGAAAAAAATGGATTGTCGCACCTGTAGTGAATATGGACACACTTTTTCCCCTTATCGGTATACCCTAAACACAGTATGACCACTATTTCCATAGCATTGTATTAGGTATCATACATATTCTAGAGATGGGTTACTGTGTGTGGGAGGATGTGCCTAAGTTATAGGCAAATATTACATCATTTTATATGAGGGACTTGAGCATCTGTGGATTCCAGTATCTGTGGGGGGTTCCTGGAACCAATCCCCCTTGGATGTCTCGGAGTGAAATACTGGTGCTGCAGATGTAGGAGTGAGCCTTCGTTGGCTGAGGGCCGAGTCCTGCTGGGTAGAAAGTGCATACACAGCAGGGGCAGCTCTGGCCTGTAGGCATGCTGTGGGCCCCTGTGGCTCTCTGCTCCCCCTCGCCAGGCCTTCATTGCCCCTTGGCCACTCTCTTTCCCTGGTCATCACAGCAACTTGCCTGGGCCTGGCCCGGCAAGCATGAGGATGTAGCAGAGTCCAACGGACATTGTAGTCTGGGTGAGACAGAGCCGCCGTCATTAGCAGCTTCTAGGTGAAGTGAGGTGAAGGTGAAGCAGGAGGGAACTTAGTTAACAAATGCTGCTCCTGGCCAGTTACTAGATGGGCTGTGCCAAGCAGCTGAATCTGCAAAGATGATCGCTGTGGGTGGTGATCGCAAGGAACCGTGGGGGCCATCCTTTTCAGTGTCTTGTGTCTGGGAGACTTGGCCATCAGAGTCCAAGGGTCCCCAAGGTTTCTGGCCCAATCCCACATGCCCCAATGGGAGGCTCCCTGATAGGACTGCCCCCGCCCTGCAACGTGCACTCCCTCAGGTCAAGGGCAAGGCTTTCCCCTCTGGCACAGCTTTGCCAGTGTAAAGCTCTTCCTGTCATCAAGCTGTGACTTTCAGCCACTGACTCCCTGAGGGTTCTTGTTGCTGCCTTTGGGGAGCAGCAGAGTCCTGGCTGCCCTCTCTCAGAGCAGACTGGAGACATCCGTAGGGCCTGGAGCCTGTCTGCCCCATCCAGCTGAACAGCTCCACATTCTCCTGTCCTTGACCAGGACATGGCCTCTGCTATTTATTTATTTATGAGACAGAGTCTCACTCTGTTGCCCAGGCTGGAGTGCAGTGGCACCATCTCAGCTTACTGCAAACTCCGCCTCCCAGGTTTAAACAATTCTTGTGCCTCAGCCTCCCGAGTAGCTGAGATTACAGGTTCATGCCACCACACTTGGCTAATTTTTTTTTTTTTTTT